CGCCATCGGAAGCCCTTGAAATGATAAATATGTACATGTGAAAATATTCATACTTTTATCATAAGATTCATAACATAAACTTGAAGCAATCATATACTTTAAGTAAAGATTCAATTTACTCATCTTATATGTCACATTCTTTCATCATCATAGCATCATAATGGATGGTATCATATACATAGGAATCTTATTCATATATATTCACAGGCATCATATTCACATATATGCATATTCTTTCATCATCATAGCATCATCATGGATAGTATCATATGCATAAGCATCTTATTCATATATATTAACAGGCATCATATTCAGATACATGCCATATAATTTTGCTTATCTATTGTTCATCAGCATTATATTCATTATATATTAGTTACATTAACATTATATAAAATCACATTTTCATTCATTCCTCTTTTCATCGTATAGAGAATTGTTTGCCTCTTCTCTTTTAATCATTTTGACAAACTTGTTAGTTTGCTCTATTGTAGGAAAAATTTAAGACCTACCAAACCGTGGATTGTTCATTTAGCCTTGTTTTCATCATATATGCACTTCCGTAATTTACATAATTTATTATTTGATCCATATACTTATATATGCAAAATAATACATTCCATTATTTTCATAAGATAATAAATTATAATTTTAGCATATCTTGCATTATTCCTAAATTTCAACTTAAAATGTTATTTTCTTGAATTAAAAATCACTTCATAAATATTCCATATCGAGATATCAAAGTTATGTTGGATGCCTCATATATTAATTTAAGAAAGATTCAAGTATATTAAAAAAAAACAATATAAAAGAGGGCTTTTATTCGACTTTGATTTTTTTTAAACACGTAGGGATGACCGAGACTTGTCTAATCTCCTTCGGCCATTCCTTTTAAAAAAAAATATAGATATATTTGTGTGTGTGTGTCTGTCGATATGATTTATGTCTTTGAATCATAATTTTTTTATTATTTACTTATTGTGAACGGTATATGTATTAACTAGCCAAATAATGTGAAATGAAAAAAATTAAAATAAGTACTATATATTAAAAATGAAAATTAAAAAGAACCTTTCATCCATGAAGTTATTCATAGATGGGTGAAATATTTTAATAAACTTTTTAATGAAGTTTTTGAAAAAATGACCGACTATGGTGATCTTAATATCATTAATAATAATAATAAATTTTATTTTTACAGTCGCATTGGTAAAAGGAAAGTTGAGGAGGCTTTAAAGAAAATCAAGGTTGAAAAAGCAATAGGACTGAATGGTATCATAATAGAGGTGTGGAGATATTTTGGAGATTTGATAATTTTTTTTTTGCTTACTAAAATTTTTAATATTAGTTTAAAAACTAAAAAAAATGTCTGAGTGGAGGAAGAGTATTTTGAGCTCCATTTTGAAGAATAAAGGTGATGCACAAGGGCGTGTAAATTATAGAGAAATTAAGTTAATATGTCATACATTAAAATTATGGGAGAGAATAATTGAACATAGATTAAGACATGATATAAAGATTTCTTATAATCAGTTTTGATTTATGCCATGCAAGTCTAATATGGAAGTTTTACATTTATTTAGAGGTTTGATGGAGAAGTATAATGAGAGTAAAGATGATCTACATATGATATTAATTGATTTAGAAAAAAAAACTTACAATAAGGTACCAAGAGAAAAAAACTTGCATTAAATTATAACTTTATGGAATATTAACATGCCATGGATATATAATATTAGCCATTTCATATATTTTTAAGTAGTTCAATAGTGCATATAATATTCTTATGATAACATAAATATTTTTACATATGTATATCATAAATTATCAAGTCTAATGTGGAAGTTTTACATTTATTTAGAGGTTTGATGGAGAAGTATAATGAGAGTAAAGATAATCTACATATGATATTAATTGATTTAGAAAAAAAAACTTACAATAAGGTACCAAGAGAAAAAAACTTGCATTAAATTATAACTTTATGGAATATTAACATGCCATGGATATATAATATTAGCCATTTCATATATTTTTAAGTAGTTCAATAGTGCATATAATATTCTTATGATAACATAAATATTTTTACATATGTATATCATAATATATCATTTGCTTGCTGATTATGTAAGATACATAATCACAGCGATGAATTATGACATTAATTAAATCAGATTCCAAGAAAACATTGACAGTTTGTATACTTAATTTGAAACTTCATGTAGAGATTATAATTTGTTCAATGTGAAGAGATTATTTCCACCATCAAGAATAAATTTTATTAACCATGAACAAACTTTCATAAGAGCTTAATATATATCATGAATCATCTCTTAAATATTATGTAGTAAGAATATTTAATAAATTCTAAGATAAGAGGAGGGTATCCTACGTTTTAGATGGCAAAATTCCTATGAAAATTTCTTTCACATGCATACTAGAGTGGATCGTTTTTTTCTTCTTCTCTCTTATCCAACACTCAGTTTTTTTCTTAATATTTTTTGAAGGAAGAAGCATCCCAAATCAATTTCTTTTATTTATTAGCTTGCCACTCAAACTTGCTAATCATTTCTCTCCTTTTGCTTTCTCCATATTTCATATCTTACTCTCTTTAAGTTATCATATATTAATTATAATATTAATTTAATTAATATTATTTATCATTAATCCTCATTATATATTTCTAATTATATTTTATCTTACATAATCATGTTTAAAAGTAATACCTAGTTTGAAATTTTGGATCTGATGACCATCTCTTAGTATTTTGATTATCACTTTCTCATTTCTTAACTGAATTTTATGTTCTTATATAAAGCTAGCAAAAATTTTTGCAATATTTATGTTGATGAATTTATCCAATTTGAACATTAAATTAACTAGAACTTATAAATACTGAGAGTAAAAGTTATTGTTTTGCATTGGATGTTTTTTATGAAGTAATTTCATCATATCATGATTCCCACAAGTACTGATAAATAAAATAAAATAATTTATTATCATATTTATTTTATAAATATGCACGTATAAAATACGATAAAACAATCATTATTATTATTTCTTTTTTATTTTTTTTCTAATAGATTATAAGGGCTATTGCCCTCTCATCTGTTAATTTTTATCTCGCTTCAATATTAAAATCTTTCATCTGTTCTATTTGTTTTCCTAGGTCAGATTTGTTAAAGGAAATGCCTATAAAATTGGTCTTCTGACAGTGAAATTTGTTAGAACCGAGCAATTGGAAGATTGAGCCATCCTGCTTGCCTTCTACCCGTCTTTAATCTTGATATTCAAAAGTTTGAATAGCCATGTTTGTTTGACGTACAGGAACCTTGAATTCTAAAACAACAAAACAGTGAAATTGATAGTTTATGTAGAACTTATATGCGAACTTCTAAACTTCACTGCTGTGTATTTTAATCACGTTTACTAAGATTTGAAATAAGCTAATGTGAGACCAGATTGGGTTCAAATATGTTACAAACGTATTCAACTGTAGCTGCTGAAAGTGCATGCAAGTGGTCTTTTTTGTGATTTATATTATACTTGAAATATTAGAGTGACTTAATTTCTTACCTAGGGGTGTCAAAAATTGACCCGTCACGCCAACTCCACCTGAACTTGACTAAAGAAATCATGATTCGACGGGCGAGTTAGGAATCCTATCCCATTTAATTTTTTGAGTCGGTACCGTCCAACTGAAAATTGATCTTAAACTGATTCACTAAACCGAAATTGACTCGAAATCGACCCGCTTACTCGAAACTAATTAGAACTTATAAATACTCTGAGTAAAAGTTATTGTTTTGCATTGGATGTTTTTTATGAAGTAATTTCATCATATCATGATTCCCACAAGTACTGATAAATAAAATAAAATAATTTATTATCATATTTATCTTATAAATATGCACGTATAAAATACGATAAAACAATCATTATTATTATTTCTTTTTTATTTTTTTTCTAATAGATTATAAGGGCTCTTGCACTCTCATCTGTTAATTTTTATCTCGCTTCAATATTAAAATCTTTCATCTGTTCTATTTGTTTTCCTAGGTCATATTTGTTAAAGGAAATGCCTATAAAATTGGTCTTCTGACAGTGAAATTTGTTAGAACCGAGCAATTGGAAGATTGAGCCATCCTGCTTGCCTTCTGAATCTCAATGATACCCGTCTTTAATCTTGATATTCAAAAGTTTGAATAGCCATGTTTGTTTGACGTACAGGAACCTTGAATTCTAAAACAACAAAACAGTGAAATTGATAGTTTATGTAGAACTTATATGCCAGCTTCTAAACTTCACTGCTGTGTATTTTAATCACGTTTACTAAGATTTGAAATAAGCTAATGTGAGACCAGATTGGGTTCAAATATGTTACAAACGTATTCAACTGTAGCTGCTGAAAGTGCATGCAAGTGGTCTTTTTTGTGATTTATATTATACTTGAAATATTAGAGTGACTTAATTTCTTACCTAGGGGTGTCAAAAATTGACCCGTCATTCCAACTCCACCTGAACTTGACTAAAGAAATTATGATTCGACGGGCGAGTTAGGAATCCTAATCCATTTAATTTTTTGAGTCGGTACCGTCCAACCGAAAATTGATCTTAAACTGATTCACTAAACCGAAATTGACTCGAAATTGACCCGCTTACTCAGTATACCCGAGATCGATTCAAAATAAACCCGACTAGTTGTTGTCTTATGTTAAACAGGTTATACGGGTTGGGTTCAGGTTAGCAGGTTGGGTTTGAGTTGGACATTCTAACTCGTTTATTATTTGGGTTTGAGTTGGACATTCTAACTCGTTTATTATTTGTGTTCGGTTTGGATCAAGTAATTTTGGGTCGGGTCAATTTCAGGTCAAATCTGAACCTGACCCGCGAATCACGATTTGACTCCTATAATTTTATCAATTGTAGTGTACATAGGTAACCATTTTTCAAAAATTTTCTTTCTTGACCTAATTTTAAAATTATGTCTCATTGTTCAGTGGCAAGGAGAACTTCAGTTTTTGATGACCCTACCGTCGAGATACAAGAACTGACAGCAGTCATTAAACATGATATTACTGCTCTAAACTCTGAAGTAGTGGACTTGCAGCTACTCTTCAATTCGCAAAATGATAGTGGAAATATTTCCAGTGATACATCCAGTCATTCTGCCACTGTGGTTGACAACTTGAAGAACCGCTTGATGAGCACTACAGAAGAGTTCAAAGAAGTTTTAACCATGAGGACTGAAGTATGCTCTAGAATTTAGCTTAGGGAAATCTACATGCATACCACATAATTAATATTTATTCACATATTTAACATTTAACACTTTGGTGTTATAAACCTATGCATGAAACTGTGTATTTCACCTTTAAAAAGTTAACAATGGAGGTATTTCTGATATGATAAAGATTTGAGTATTATAAATGTAAATATGAAAGTTTGGGTGTTAGATATGTAAATACATAAGTATTGTGTGGTATGTACTAAGTACCCCCCCTAGCTTAACATCATGGAATTATTACTTCAGAGAAAGATTGTAATAACTTATTATATCTATTTTCCATTCTGCAGAACTTGAAACTTCATGATAATCGGCGACAATTATTTTCTTCTTCAGCATCAAAAGACCCCACAAATCCTTTTATTCGACAAAGACCTCTCTCGAGGGTCACATCTGACTCAGCTGCACCTCCGGCACCATGGGCAAATGACTCAGCGTCTACTTCTCAACTGTTTCTCAGGTAACTTGATCGCCACTATAACGTCACATGGAAAGAGCTTGTTCATTTTTGGGCATATGTGATGGCATTAGATAAAGTAGAAAGACCAAGATTCCAATTTTTGAGTACTTAACTTGTTCATTTTCGGTCCTTCGTTGGAAGCCACTTAATTTAATAGGGGCATTTGCTTATATACCACTCAATTCCTATGAATTTACGTATCTAACACCTAAAATTTACGTTTTATATTCATACCGCCCAAATATTTCATTTCACAAAAATACCACATTTTAACTTTTAAAAAGTCAAATGCACCTTTTCTTTCCTAGGTAAGGTGGTATGTATATAACAACTGAAGTTTAGGCGTTAGATATGTAAAAGCATAGGAATTGAGTGGCAGGTATGTAAATCTTCCAATTTTATAACATTGTTTTTAGATTTGTCTTCTGTTTTTTAATGAACAAAGATGAATGCGAAATTGCGGATCATGGTTTGTTTGTGCAATTGGTTAGGCGTTTTTATTAAATTTTGCATCATTATTTCTGTTAATTTTCAGGAAAAAGACAAATGGGGATCCATCATCATCATCATCTCCATCTCAGCCCTTACTCCAACAACAGCAACAGCAGCAGCAGCTGATTGCCCCTTTGCAGGACAATTACATTCATAGCAGAGCAGAAGCCCTCCAAAATGTTGAATCTACCATTCATGAGCTGAGCAGCATCTTCACTCAATTAGCCACCATGGTTTCCCAGCAGGGAGAGCTAGCCATAAGGTTATCCTCTTTTTTTCAAAAGAAAAATAATGGTAAAATCTACTAAATTATCCCCTAAATTTCAAGCAATTTTTATATTCAACCCTCTAACAAATTAACTTCCATAAACATGCCACTTTTTCTTTAGAATCACATAATTTTCTTTTTTAAATGACCATTAAACATCTAAATTATCAAAATTCACTTAAGTTTCTTTCAAAAAATTTTGGATGCCATTATAACAAAATCATAATTTTATGTGATATAACAATAAAAAATTCAATTTTTCCCTATTCTGTCGTGTCTTATGAGATTAATTGCTGAGTTGACATTAATTTCAGTGAAATTATTCTGCATATTTTTATAGGATTGATGAAAACATGGACGACAGCTTAGCTAATGTTGAAGGAGCACAGAGCCAGCTACTGAAGTACCTCAACAGCATATCCTCCAACCGGTGGCTGATGATGAAGATATTCTTTGTATTAATAGTTTTTCTCATGATATTTGTATTTTTTGTCGCATGATTTTGTTCCAAGGCTTTAAACTCTTTTAATAAATTTTTTTTCTTGTCTTGGTTATAATGTTTTCATCTCATTCCAGAGTAATATATAATGAAATCTTCTCTTCTACGGATGAGTGTTCTAATATTTTTTTCTGTTACTGCACAGTTTTGCCTAAATTCTATTTCTGAACTTAATAACATGAGGCTGCAGCTTCATATGGTTTTGTTTGGGTCATGTGCTCTTCTGGCTGCTTATTAGATTAGGCTTTGTTTGGTATGTAACGTATGTTTATGTGAATAAATCTTCAACTTTGCATATAGAAATATTTTGAAGTTTGTTGATTTGATATAAAGTAAATTCAGAAATTTATTGTGTGTGATTTGAGGATAATGGCTATGACTTTTATGGTGGGCGGCGGGCGGCTGGCGGCGACAGATTGGAGGTGGTGTTGGTGGAGGCCCGGGATGACAGGCGGCGGGCAGCAGCTATGAGCTGGCGACCGCGAAGATAGGAGGCGCGCGGGGGGGCGCGGCGTATGAGTGACCTGCTGTTGAATGACACTGCACTGATAGCGATAATAGGTTATAGTTTGTAATGTATTTAAGAATCGCTTAAATTTAATAACTTTGGAATATGTTAGATATGAACTATATAATGAATTTTAAAATCACAAAATTTTACGGTTCATTTCTTTTTAATTCAATTAAATATCAAAATTTTGAAATCCTCTTTCTTTGATTTACATTACACCGTTGATGCAGGGAATTAACAACTCAATCTACGAGAATGTTAGAAGTTTTTTTTTTCCTGCAATAGTTATTAATTTATTAAACAAGGTTTTTGATCCACCAAGCTCACTACGAAAAAATTTTTACCTAGACTTAGACGCAGCTCTACATGCGGACTCCAATAATATATCGCCGCGTGTGCTACATTGAGGAGGTTATTTTCGGATTATTGAAGTGAAACCATAGATGATATTTCGGGGTTATTTAAGAGAAACTCATATATTCCACTTCAATAACTCCAAAATAACCCGAAATAACATCTGTGATTTCACTTCAATAAACCTAAAATAACACTGCAGATATTATTTCGGAGTTTTCGAAGAGAAACCTATATATTCCACTTCAAAAACCCCGAAACAACACCACGAAGGTTATTTCGAGGTTATTGTGGGAATTATTGGAGACCGTAGTTTATTTTTTTAGGTGGGCGTGATATAACACATATGACGGTATATTACTTGGATTCCGCACGTAGAACTACGTCCGGAGTCCAGATAGAAAAAATTTTCCCCTAATAGTAGTATGAGACGCAAGAAAAGCTAATATTAGTTCTAAATTATTATCACTCAAAACCAAATTTAAGCAACCCGAGCATTGTGAATTAAGTCAACTAATATTTTTACACTAAATTGTTTTAACTGTCTAAAAAAATATTTAAATCATTATTTGACATATTCTATCTTTGATAGGCATGCTTCATGTGATACACATAAGCGAGTCTTGTTAGAGATAGAAAGAGAGAGGGGGACAGAGGGAAGAGAGAGCTTTTGGGAGGATAGAAAGAGAAAGCATGTGGTAAATTCCTCAGTACAAAATTTTCTCCTTTATGTGCACAAGCTTTAATCAGTTCCCTTAATGCTCTGAAGGCAGTGACCCACCTGTTGTCTATTTTTAGGAGAAAAGCAGAGGGAGAGGGAGATTTTTGGGAGGATAGAAAGAGAAAGCATGTGGTAAATTCCTCAGTACAAAATTTTCTCCTTTATGTGCACAAGCTTTAATCAGTTCCCTTAATGCTCTGAAGGCAGTGACCCACCTGTTGTCTATTTTTAGGAGAAAAGAAGGAAATGTTCTCTGTAAAGTTTCCTTTGTGTAGCAATATCCCTACTTTGGAGTGTCTTTTCTCCTTTTCCTTTTCCTACACCAAAAATAAAGTTGAGAAGGGAAAAAGAAGCCTCTTTGTGGTGTGGTTTTATCCAAAGGAATTTTACATACCACACATTTTATATGGATTTTCATATTTAATTTGATAATATACATTTATAACACCTTGGTGTTATAAACCTATTCATAAAAAATGCATTTGACTTGAAAAGTTAGTAGAAGTGATTTTCATATATGATCATAAAGATTTATTTAAGTACCATGAATGTAAGGGTTAAAATATAGATGTTGAATATGTAGAGACATAAGAATAGTGTGATATGTATGTAAATGCCCTTTATTTAAATTATTTTATCTTCTATGCCTTTCTTGTTTTATCATCTTCTCACTTTAATGCTTAATTTTTTTAATTTCTTTTTTTTTTTTTAATTCATGCATTCATGAGAATGTGAGAGGAGTTCAACTCAAGGTTGAATGACCGACTATAAAAATTCTGATCACTCGCCAGTTGAGGTGCACAGTTTAATTTTATACAAACAAAATTAATATTTTTTTGTTACATCACACAAACAAAATATAAAAAGAAACTTTTAAGTAGAGTTCTAAACTTTTTTACAAACCAGTTAGTATCATCGTTTTATGAAGGAAATTGAATATCTAAAAATGATGTTTTTCTTAGCATGTTTTAAAAACTTGAAATTAAAGATGTGGAACCAAAAGAAGGCTAATTTTATGTATGGTCTAATTATTGGATCCTAAGTTGTCTGTTGTGAACAAGCATCAAGGAGGAATAAAAAGAGAGAGAGTAATTAGGCCAAGGGGAAAAGTCCCTTTATTCGTCCTTTCGGCTCCTATTTATAGAGACATATTTATACAATTAAAGAGAAGAGGGAATAATTAAGAAAATCACCCTTAATACGATTAATTATGCAGATTTTATACCAAATCTATATATATAACAATTTGAATTTGAATATGATGATAACTAGCTGGTCGACTTGCTTGGGTTCGACCAACCAAGGCGATCGGTCGAATAACAATCGCGCCTGGAAGTAAAAGCCGATCGGTCTATTGGTTGCGATTGGACACCTTTGTAAGGAGTCTCTAGAAGATCGAGGCATAGACGTGGTTTGTTGATTGAGTCCCTCGTTATAGTATGTTGATTGACTTCGACTGGGTGGTCAACCGTTGAATGAACGATTCAGATCATGTTGTTTTAGTCTAAGACCTTGATCACCCGATCACTATTTTGGGCCATTAGATTGCTTTGAGATTCATGTCGCCAGTTCTAATGTATATATATTAGTTCACCGAGTTTTCTTGCTCCTTGAAAGTGACAACTGCAATAAGGACATGGAAACTGTTTAATAAATAATGGGGGAAGCGATAGCTAACTTGCCTTTGGATTTTGTGCTCAATGTGCTCTATAAATAGAGTTTCAAGTTTGGCTTGGAATTTGTTGCCATCATTTTTTCCAGCTAACCAAGTTGCATTATGACTGATGTTCGAGTCGGGTCATTGTGGATCCTAAGATTCTCACCAAGGTGGGCTACGGGCCCTTGGTTTATGCAAAGGACAAGATTATGAAAGGAAAATGATTGCGGCTCGAACCTTCATCTACTGATCAGGTCGACTCGTCTAAGGATCCCAAGGGATGAATGTCGAAAGTCCCTCGCCAGGAGGCCCCGACCTGAGTCTGGCATGGGTGTAGGCTCCGAGGGCCAGCAGGCCCTACTTGTTAAAGGCGCCAAGGCGATTGAAAAGGAGCCGGCAGGGGAAGCGATAGTTGTTGCCTCAGTTGCTTCTGTAGGAAGGCGGAATTACCTTGGTGCATGAGGGAGAGGGACCTTTTAAGACCCTTTCCTCGATAATTAGATTTATGGTCATGTAAAACTCTTTTTGGTCGTTGAATGTTTTTAAAATTTCTTGAAATTATTCCCACGAAAAAGACTTGGTTGAATCAGAGGATCGCCAAGCCGATGGGCAGTGAAAGATGCTGCAGAGTCTGTTCCTACTGCGGTGGCCAGTATGCATGATGAATATGCAAGGCTTCTGCTGACAACCACTTTAAGAGGGAACCGGCTCCCCAATCCTTTTCCTGCCACCGAATCTGAATGGGGGCAAACAAAGCGACGACCGTCTTGCTCTGTGGTCATGGAGCAACATGTAGGGGGGACCGGGTCCTTGGCGATGATAGTTAGATCTTCAGAGGGAGCAGTCAGAGGTCGGGTCGTAAATTCTGTGCGGGAGTTATTAGCCCATCTGATAACCATGGGTTCAGATGTATCAACCTTGCAGGTGGAGATCACCACTCTGCGAAGCAGACTGGCAGAGGCATTGCACAAGCTGGGAGCGCTTCGTGAGTTGATCAGCTTGGGCAAGTTCCTTTGCGAGGCAGACTACGTGGATCAAGTTAAGCTAGGTGGGGAGATGGTTCTCTAAAGGTTGACTCGAAGGGGGTATGTCCCAATTTGGATGACTCATTGATAAAACACTTCGTTTGAGACCTGTAATAATATTATTTGAAATTGAAACGAACAAAGTCTTTGCCTCAGTGGGGTTTGTTCCTTTTGCTAGGTGTGAATCTTTTTTCCTCCCAATAGGGTTACCCTTGAGGACTCGTCTCCAGGGTGATTTGCTCTACACTCTTTTGCAGATTTTGTTGTTATCGAGCAGATAACCATCTCCGAAGACAAATTCTTTTCTACTATAAGTGCACGGGTTTGTGGTGTGAAGGTGGAACAAGTAGTCAATTGATCCACCATAACCGACTATTGGGACCATACGTTATATGTTTTGATTCGGCTATATATATGTATATATATTGGTATATTGGCGTACTTGTGTTCTGTGAATTCTATAGTCGGCAATTCAAGGGGTTCTTGTGGGATTTTTCGATTAGGTTAAGTCCTCCGAGTGTCAAGATTAGAGGATTGACAGTTTGGCATGGGGTCGACCGCAAAGGTGACCTCCTCTCACGTGACTCTAGTGGGCCAGCATTTAAAACTTGCATCGATGTTGATGTGAATTCTTTTTCTCTTTCTTTTTTGAGAAGCAAGCTACTAAGCCTTGATGTCAGTGTCAAGCCGATAGATGTTGTGTTGTTTCTGTCATGGTGGGCCTATTTGCAAGTGTTTTAAGGTTACTACTGTTGTGGGTTGCTAGTAGTACGAGCTGTGTGTTAATTTTGTTTCCTATAAGAAGAAAGGGAAAGAC